TTGTACGGAATTTGGATTATCTTCTTTCTTAGACTTTCTCTCTCTACTTAGGATTTTTCTCTCTCTTAACTTTTCTCTCAAACCTTGTTCTTGATTATTTCCATTAATACAGATTAGTTAGGTAACGATTTCTCTTCCCTTAATCTTAGCTATTTACTTTACTCCTTCCATCATGACTTGTTTTCTTGCTTTGATTAGTTTAGTTTTTATTATGTGTGAGTAGTTTTATTTCTAGGGTTTATGGGGATCCATAAATAGTATAAAGGGGTAATTTATTGTTGTTAATTATCAATGCTAGATTAATTTCCTATTGATTGATTTAATGCTCTGTGACTAGATTAGGCCTGATCTTTTATGCATGAGTTTGGCAATATTGATTCGAGATTCGACAGATGAGAATTGATGTTTAGGTCTAGTTTCAATAGGCAGGTTAATTTATAAATGGTTAGGTCGAGATTCGAAAGATGAGATTTAATACCGGTAAATTAATTGTGTGATTATAATACGTAGCGAAAACCCTTCATAATCTGATTAATATATGCATTGATGAATGATTATTATATTCTACCCTGGAATATTATTTATTGGTGAACCTATGCCCTAGATCCTTCTATATATTATTTTCTCCTTATTCTTGATCTCCGTAGTTTAGTTTATTATTCAATTATAAATATTGGTTACTTCATAATCTAGATTATATTAATTAATTAGGATTGTTTCCCTGTGGAGTTCGACCCTACTTCCCTATCTACTTTAGTTAGAGGACTTAGGTAATTATTTTTGATTAGGGGATACGACTTTACCCTGTCACCTCTATGTCTCGAGCACGAGCGGGACGTGGATGGGTGCAACCATCCAATTTGTCTTTAAACAACCGATTTATCGGTTTACAACTTGCATCGATTTCATTAACCTAAGCCTACCACGAACATTTATGACAACAAATATCGATCATATATGGTTCCAAAGACATTATATGACCTCGAATTATAATCCCTAATCCCGGCACAAGACACCGCATGATCACTGAAAATATCCCTAGGAAAAAGCCTTGAACAAGCAAAGCACAACAAGGGTATTGAGTTAAACAAGTAATAGGCCCATTAATGGGCCTCATGAGATTATGGGTTGGCTGGGAAGACTGAGGCTGCCGCCACTGAGCCTCCTGAAACAGCTGAGAAAGCTGAGGCTCCCGCTGAGACTGAGAATGTCGACGAACCTCAGGAGATCGTCTGCCACGACTAGGCTCCCCCTCGTCCGAGCCTCTTGATGTGTCTATTTTATATAGTATTTTTCCCCCGTCCCTTGGTCGTAATTAGTAGTTTTTTTGGCTCTTTTCGGGCCACTTTTATTACTACTTTGTGTTCTCTAGTGTTTTCGTAGTTTTAGTTGTATTTTACAGGAAAGTGCACTCTTGGAGCATTTTCCCGGGCTTTATGGATCAACTACGGAAGCTAGAAGGACACGACCAATTTTGAAGCCCAGGATCGGTGAGAGCCGATGATTAAGGGCTTGGTAATTGGAATCCCGAGGCTTTGGACCGAGTATTCAAGACCCGAAGAGGAAATCCGGATTGGGCCGAGAAATCAAGCCCAATCGAAGTCCGAGCCTCAAAGTGAAGCAAGGGCCCGATCGGGCAACCTCTAGCACGATCGGGCGCGGCAAGGCATTGGTGTTGTGCGTGCTATAGCACGCCCAATCTTGCGAGCGTCTAGCACGATCGGGCGATGCTGCGGAGAAGGAATGCGAAGAAAAAGGTGGGCCCGATCGGGCGGCCCTTTGCCCGATCGGGCGCGTGTTTTTTATATAGTCTGATTAGTTTATTTTTAGTTTTGTTTGAGGAAACGTTTATATACGAGTTTTGTACGGAATTTGGATTATCTTCTTTCTTAGACTTTCTCTCTCTACTTAGGATTTTTCTCTCTCTTAACTTTTCTCTCAAACCTTGTTCTTGATTATTTCCATTAATACAGATTAGTTAGGTAACGATTTCTCTTCCCTTAATCTTAGCTATTTACTTTACTCCTTCCATCATGACTTGTTTTCTTGCTTTGATTAGTTTAGTTTTTATTATGTGTGAGTAGTTTTATTTCTAGGGTTTATGGGGATCCATAAATAGTATAAAGGGGTAATTTATTGTTGTTAATTATCAATGCTAGATTAATTTCCTATTGATTGATTTAATGCTCTGTGACTAGATTAGGCCTGATCTTTTATGCATGAGTTTGGAAATATTGATTCGAGATTCGACAGATGAGAATTGATGTTTAGGTCTAGTTTCAATAGGCAGGTTAATTTATAAATGGTTAGGTCGAGATTCGAAAGATGAGATTTAATACCGGTAAATTAATTGTGTGATTATAATACGTAGCGAAAACCCTTCATAATCTGATTAATATATGCATTGATGAATGATTATTATATTCTACCCTGGAATATTATTTATTGGTGAACCTATGCCCTAGATCCTTCTATATATTATTTTCTCCTTATTCTTGATCTCCGTAGTTTAGTTTATTATTCAATTATAAATATTGGTTACTTCATAATCTAGATTATATTAATTAATTAGGATTGTTTCCCTGTGGAGTTCGACCCTACTTCCCTATCTACTTTAGTTAGAGGACTTAGGTAATTATTTTTGATTAGGGGATACGACTTTACCCTGTCACCTCTATGTCTCGAGCGCGAGCGGGACGTGGATGGGTGCAACCATCCAATTTGTCTTTAAACAACCGATTTATCGGTTTACAACTTGCATCGATTTCATTAACCTAAGCCTACCACGAACATTTATGACAACAAATATCGATCATATATGGTTCCAAAGACATTATATGACCTCGAATTATAATCCCTAAAATTACAAGACTTTCGACACTAGGGCCCCGAAACCTCCAAAATTTCTCAAAAAGCGTGGACATTAGCCTTTAATTTTAGAAAATTTTGACTTTTTCCGCCCAGAATAAAAATTGCCGAAATGTTTATCATGATCCCTAATACCCTCTGGGAGTCCAATTGGATGGGTGGAACCATCCAATTTGCCTTTAAACAACCAATTTACCAGTTTACAACTTGCATCGATTTACCGGTTTACAACGGCTAATTTAATTAACTTGCACCAAACTCGATTTGAACCGAAATTGACCCCAACCCGTTTTAACTCGTCAAAACTCGTATTTAACCCGACTTGTTATCAACCTGACCTGAATTCAACCCAACCCGTTCCTAACCTGACCCGAATTTAACCCAACCTGTTACAAACCCAACCCGAACTCAAACCGACTTGCTATTGACCTGACCCAAATCAAACCTGACTTGTTATTGACCTGACCCGAATTTTACCAGACCTATTACTTACCTGATCCAAAAATTCAACCCGATCTGTTACTAACTCGACTCGAAATTAACACGACTTGTTATTGCCTCGACCTAAATTCAATCCAAATTATTCCTGATTCGATTTCAAATCACCTTAAATGGAATTTAGACCACCTTATTATTGTTGATCAAAGCATTTTGTCTAGGGAGACCAAGTCGGCCCAGGCCAACAATAGAAAGGAGCATCATCCTCAAATTTAAGAGTTACATATAGTATATTTGTTGTATGGTCAAAGAAGATAATTATCTTCCTAAATTATAGACTATAGTTTCCTAGTATATTGCCATATATATTATAGTATTTATAGTTTGTTGAACCTGAATATGACCTGACTTGGAAATGACCTGTCCTGATTGTATATGCAAATTATTGATTTGAACATAACCCGACTTGAATCCGAGAATCACCCGACTTGGAAATGACCCAACCTGATTATTACTCGCAAATTATTGACTTGAACCGAACCCGACTTGAACCCGAGAATGACCCGACCCAGATTATAACCGGCAAATTATTGACTTGAACCGAACCCAACTCAAACCCGAGAATGACTCGACCTGATTCTAACTCGCAAATTATTGACTTGAACCGAACCCGACTCGAACCCAAGAATTACCCTGACCCGTTTTAACGCTTGAAAACCAGACCTATTGTTCACCCGACCCGAATGTAACCCGACCTGTTATTAACACGACCTAAACCCGGCCCAAACCCGATAAGAAGTATGACCCGACTCAAGCATGACCCAATCCAAACCCGACACGCATAGGTTATGGAATTAATCCGAATTGACCCGACTCGAGTTGACCCGACCTACTCTTATTCGACCCAAACCCGACTCGTTTACCCGAATTGAAAGCTCTAGACCCTCCATTACTAATGCATGCATAAAATGGGTAGTTTTTTTTTTTTTTTTTTTTTTTTTTTTTTTTTTTTTTTAACGGGTAGTTTAGTACTCTGTAGTTGTTTATACTATTTCTAAGAAATTAAGAATCCGTTCAAGAAAAAAAAGAATCCGTTCAAGGAAAAAAAAAAAAAAAAACTATTTCTAAGTATGTAAGATTAAACTACCGTTTTTTTGCAACAAATAAGAAATTTCTCCTATTGTTCTAACAATCTTGCAGCCACCAAAGATTACCAATTTTCTTTTGACTGCCAAGTGCCAACAAATGAGCACATGTACAAATAAAACTTTATCCGCTTAATGTCCCACACTTCCCAGGCTATATATACAAAGTTTAGAGTGGGAACATTTATCAATATTTTACCTTTAAATTTGTTAGCAAAATTAAACTCGTTATTTTTATTAAACCATATATACTTTTTCCTTACCATAATATGCAAGGACTTAAATATTCGAAATTCATATTTATTACTTATTATCTCTTATGTCAAAAATAATGTACATACTACTATTATTGACACGAATTTGACATTGTTACAAAAATAACAGAAATTTTATCTTTTTGACCCGTCGTCTCACAATATTTTTAGTCAGATATGAAATTATAAAGTACTATTACAGAATATATTTTGACAAAAGTTGTTAAGAAATAGTGCTTATATTACTAATATATACAAGTATATATAATAATCTAACTACATGTGGGCAATTGGGATACTACTGCTATATTAGTCCAGTAATAAGCTCACAAAATTTGATGTTTGACTTCAACTTTAGGCAGCCAACCTAATTTGATACTCTTGCTTTTGATCGAACAACCTACTTTACAAAAACATCATAACATAGCCTCCAAACAACTCTTTTGATTTGCTACTTAACAAAACATTTGGCCAAGTACGTAGCAAAGAAAGTTAAACTAAGGAAAAATGTCAAACTATTGGCTGTTTTTTTCATCTCTTCTCTTTATCTCCTTCTTCTCCTTAACAAATTCAAGCAACAACAATGTATCATGTCCAATAGACTTCACCTATGTCAATACATTCCCATGGGACACCCAAGAATGCGGCGAAAACGCCGAATCAAAATCTTGTTGTCAAACACTTAGGAGCTTATTAGGCATGGGATTAGCCACATACCTTAAAGCCTCCTCAAATTTCTATCTACCAACTCCTGAATTAGCCTCCTCTTGCCTATACGCCTTTCATACCAAACTAGCCACGATTTCGAGGACGAATGCCTCATTAGTCTCCTCATGCTTGAACGACTCAAATGAATTGCTGCTTAACCACCCATCAGACTGTGCTGGGATCAGGACTATCGACGAGTGGAATGTAAAAGCCGGCCTTACACCGGAGTTGAACACGTCTTGCCAAGGTGATATGATGAGATTAACACAATGTAACTCTTGCTTTGATGCTGGTATGAAGATGAATGCTCAATTGGTAAGTTTAGCACCTAACTCAACTAAGTGCTTTTACTTCACTATATTTTATGCTGCTGGGATTGTTAATCAGCTTGGACCAACAGATTTTGGGTCAGCAAATTGTATCCTAGGCCTTCCCTTGGCTCCAGGTCATTACGATCTCGGTCAATCTTCAGGGCAACTGAATAAAAACATTGTATATAGGTTTGTTTTCGGGTTTTTAGGGGGTATAGTTGGTGTTTTGATGGTTATAGGATTGATATATTTGCTTAGAGTTTGGGATAAAAGGAGAAAAGAAAGCGCGGTCCATGATAAGTTTGTTACTAGTGTTAGGGGTCAAGTTTCACCTAATGTAGGTACGATATGGTACCACGTGACAGAGTTAGAACGCGCTACAGATGGATTTTCACGAAAAAATTTCATTGGTCAAGGCGGATATGGGGTTGTGTACAAGGGGACGTTTGCAAGTGGGTCTACAATCGCGGTGAAACAAATCACGGACGATTTGGATTCCATGAGGGATGAAGAGTTTTGCAATGAGGTTGATATTATAAGCAAAATTAGGCATCGAAATCTTTTACCTCTAAAAGGATGTTGTGTAGCAAGTGATAATCTAAAGGGGAAAAGGCGGTACCTTGTGTATGACTACATGCCGAATGGTAGCCTAAGTGATCATTTGTTTGACCATCAAAGGAAGTTAACATGGCCTCAAAGGAAGAACATAATCATTGATGTTGCTAAGGGACTTGCATACTTGCATTATGGTGTGAAGCCGGCGGTTTATCACCGTGACATCAAGACTACCAACATACTTCTAGACTCGGAGATGAGGGCAAGGGTGGCCGATTTTGGGTTGGCTAAGCAGAGTGTTGAAGGGCAATCTCATCTTACCACTAGGGTCGCGGGCACATATGGATATTTACCCCCGGAGTATGCTTTATATGGGCAACTGACCGAAAAGAGTGATGTTTATAGCTTCGGAATTGTGATTTTAGAGACAATGACTGGGAGAAAGGTTTTGGACACATCAAATACCTCAACACCATTAATCACGGATTTGGTTTGGAATTTGTTTAAGTCACAAAATGTTGAGGCTATTTTCGACGAATTTATAAGGAATGAAGGTCCAAAGGGGATAATGGATCGATATGTACGTGTTGGACTACTTTGTGCTCATGTTATGGTCGCGTTTAGGCCTACCATAGCCCAAGCCCTTAAGATGTTGGAAGGGGACATTGACATACCAAAGCTACCAGAGAGGCCATTGCCCCTAGCCCACGAGTCTTTTAGGCTAACTTCGTGTTCGTGGCGTAGTGGCTCGACTAGTGAGAGATCAACAATGGCCGCCAGCAGTAGCAACTAGCAATAGTACTATCAATTCAAGGACGAAACATTTTAGTTTGCCAATTCCTTAATTTTGTAAATTGTAACCATTAAGAAAGTATTATACTTGTAGTATAGGGCAATAGTATATTCAATGTAGGTCAGTCTTACAAATGTTGATTTAAAGGGAAAATACTAGTTATCATCATGATTTTAAGTTTACTTCTTAATGGAATGACAAAAGATACAAGTTTACTATCATTATAAACAAAAAAAAAAACATTTATATTGGTAGTTTCGTAAATAAATATATTCCTACTAGTGTTTTGACTTGTCCAAACGCTAACCAATATGCAAAACGCTACAATCAAAAGGCCTTAACACGAATAACCTTTTATTAAATGTAGATCCTATAAATATTGATCTATTTACGAAAAATGAATTTTTAATTGAATTATTTGGAAAGAGTAGGAGCAACGCAAATTCAATTTGCAAAAGTATAGAGGTCATATCATCACGATTCATGATCTATGACTATGAGCCTAAACCGTTGACTTTGGAGAGAGAAAATCATAAAAAAAAGATGAAATAAAAAAATTATACAGAGTACAAGTATTTGGGGCCGAAAGAAGTTATCTAGCTTCTTCCAATCCTAATCTACTCTAGAAATTAAAACCCCATTAATATGTTTGCATTTGCTAGTCTTCTCAATCCTCCTCTTTTTTTACTTCCTAGTCAATTTTAATTATTCAATTTTTCTTCTTGTTTGGAAAGAGAATTAATTATGCATTTGGATTAAGGTAAATGTTCCTAATTTTACCTAAAATTTTAATTATTCTTTAATTTTGATGGTTTTAAATCTGTTTGATTTTGATTTCTGTTCAATTATTGCTTTTTTTTTTTGGTATCTTAATTAGTGTAATGCTTTTTAATTCGATTTCAATCCTCTTCTTGTCACAATGGAGAAAGTTTTCTTGTCCACTCTCTCTTTGAAAATAAAATTGAGTTTATGTAAAAAAGACAATTTCTTGAATGTTTATATCAACCCCTTTTAAACTATTTTTCGCAATCATATTAGTTGGGGTTATTACTTCTTTCAATAATTGATTTGGATTTGGCTATTGAATACCTTAATAAGTTACGGATAAGAGAGTTCTGACCACTCATAATTTATAATACATCTCTATTTCATAATTACGTCTTTTATAACTCATTCGACTTTTTGTTTTAGATTACATAAGTACAAGCATAGATCAATAGATCATTATGTAACGGCTAATAAATAAAATAACCATAGTTTCATTGTCACTAGTTGAAAATAATGCAAGAAATTAAGATTGTATTATCAATATTACTCTAACTAGTAAATACATAGGGCCCAATTGATGATCTCTGGAAATGATGGTTTTGGAATTATGTAGTACAATAATGACGACATCCTGTGCACACTCTTTCCTTTATTTTGGCTGATTTCAGACCATTTTCAAATCTAAATTCAGGATTCCTCGTTTACTCCACCTTTAACCACCAAAATACAATAGAAAATCATGTTGTCTAAAGCATTATGCTGCTATGTTTCCTTTCCATTTGATCAATTTCTTACAACTTCAATACAAAATTCTACATGTAATTGTGAGTATGTAACACAAAACCTTGGTATAGACATCCTATTAAAGTATAAAATCGCGGCGATTTTATCCATTTTAATAGCAAGTGCTATAGGTGTTACATTTCCTATAGTAGGGAAGAATTTTCCCATTTTACACCCGGAGAGTAAATTGTTCTTCTTGATCAAGTCATTCGCGGCAGGGGTAATTTTGTCCACGGGTTTTATTCATATATTACCTGATGCCTTTGAAGACCTTAACAGTCCTACCCTTAAGGACACCCCTTGGGGTAAGTTCCCCTTCACTGGCCTTGCTGCCATGGTTGGGGCGCTTGGGTCATTGATGATTGATGCTATCGCCACGGGGCATTATCGAAGGGCCCACTTCGGTGAGCATTCGGGCTCGGCTGGTGGGGTTGGTGTGGAGGAGACTAGTGAGGAGCATGCTGGTCATGTTCATCTTCACACCCATGCTACACATGGTCATGCTCATGGTCCTGGTCCATTGGAAGCTAACTTGGATGGTTTGACTGACTTTGATCGTATCAGATATAAGATTACTTCACAGGTAACTTTTTCTACTGTTCCATTGATTTTCAATCTAGCTTGGATTTTATTATGACTTATAATGCTATGATATGGTTTGTTTTTAGTACAATTGGTAAAGTTGGTAGCTTTTACCAGTAGCTGTCAAGTTGTTTTTGCAATTGTCCGATATGTTCAGGTCAAATTCCGTGTACATCATTTCTTACATATCGCCTAGTACGTTGAGAGTGGACCATAGTTTTCAGTAGGGAGGGATAAGGTCTAAACTCTAAAGTGGATGGGGGTAACTTTGGTGCTTTATGGTCCCCAAATGACAAACAAGTTTTTCAAGAAAATTACATTAAGTAAAATTACCCATATTTTGACAGAAGTTTGCTTAAATAATGCCCTGCAGTTAATCAAATGCAAATTTTCAGAAACTGCAGCTTCTTGCATATGACCAAAATTTGAAGATAGATTAGCAAATAAGTTTGTTTTATAGAGCATATATAATGATGTGATGCCTGATGTCTGATGTTGCTATACTTATGTACGTGTTGGGGAGGGAAAAAGAGCTAAACTTCTCTGTATTATCGAGTTCTTGAGCAGCTTCTGATGTAGAAGTATGTATTCTTGCTGATATATGTTCAGGTACTGGAGATGGGAATTGTAGTTCACTCAATTATCATTGGCATATCACTAGGTACGTCTCAGAGCCTTGACACGATCAAGCCTCTCATCGTAGCATTGTGTTTCCATCAGTTTTTCGAAGGCATTGGACTTGGTGGATGCATTGCACAGGTATGAAGAAGTTCACACATCCTTCATCTCTATGTTTTGTTCCTTCAGTTTTCTGACAACAGTTGGATAGGCTGAACTGTCATGCTAAAAATTGGAAATCAAATTCGTGACAATAAAAATGAGCCCTGAAGAAAAGTTCTAACACAATTATTCTTACATCATGGTTATTAAAAAGTTAAGCTATTGCTAAAAGAATTATAAATAGGCCTCTTTGCCTCTGAGTTTGTCTGCTGGTTTGATGGGATTAGAGTACTTATGCTGTAAATTAGTAACCAATAACTTGCTAACCTTTCAATCTGTTTCGAAGAATCTTTTGCTTTATTAGTAAACCTCGTTATCTTTCATTCAAGCTAATGGAAGATTAGAATCAGATTCAACAACAATGTGATTTTCTTAGGTCCTCAATTTCAACATAAAATCACTTTATCTTAACATCGGAATTGCCTGTCAAAAATTGGCATTTAGTATTCAAATTATATCTGTTGGTTGCTGTTAGAGGGAATCAGCTTCCAATTTTCATTCTATTTTGTGTTAAGCAGAATCTACCAAGCCTAAATCGAGCTAATCTTTTGTCATATCAACATCTTTAAAGCCTTATTGATAGAGTATAAAACATATTCGTGGGCCTCAACCATCAGCTTAAGCTTTTGGTTGAGTTGGTCCTCTAACATGGTATCAAGAGCCAGCGTAAACATAAGTGTAGCCATCCTTTCTTCCTTTGTTATTTGTTCAAGTTTTCGCCAAACTAATCATAATGAATATGAACATGATCTTCCTGTTAAAACAAAATTTAGTAACCCTGACAAGAAGCTGATCTGAAGACCACATACTTTCTATGTTTTGCAGGCAGCTTTCAAATCTGGATCTACATTGTGCATGGCTTTATTCTTCTCCCTCACAACCCCTGTGGGAATAGCAATTGGTATCGGAATTACAAATGTTTACGATGATAGCAGTCCAACAGCTTTAGTCGTGCAAGGATTGCTAAACTCAGTCGCTGGTGGAATATTGATTTACATGGCTCTTGTCGATCTTCTAGCTCAAGATTTCATGAACTCGAAGGTGCAGACCAACACTAGGCTCTTCTTTGGCGCCAATGTAACCTTGCTTCTTGGTGCAGGAATCATGGCCCTCTTAGCAATATGGGCTTAATTTTTTTCATTACACATAGTATAATAAAGCACTTTGCTACATATAGATGTATTTATTCATTGATTGCTTTATTTTTCTTTGAATTTCCCCTTCTATTTTAATTGGGGTTGATTATAGTAATTCAACATTGATGTTAATCAAAATTCAAAAAGGCATAAATTTTGCTGCAAGTTGAATATAATAATCTCTACATCTTCAGTTATACCAATAAAATTTCTGGTATGTGACGGAAGCACTTCACTACCTAATTTTTTTTTAAACAAGTCCAAAATTAAATAACTGTATCGCAAACCACATATTTAATTATTTGTAAGTTCGTGATAAAAGTCCGTGATAGTACTTTGTGGCGTTATTTTTCCGAATCACTTGCTTGATTACGGAGTAATCCACAAGAGCTTAGATTGAGAGTAATCGGTACAAGTAGTTCATAGATAAAATTAGTAACTACGTAGTATTTAATCTATAGGTGATACTTTTATTACGAGTATTTCTTTCAGCAAACACATAAGTACAAAAGTTGCTACTTTTGTTTGGTCTAACACAGAATCTTAAGGGTCCGATTTTTAGGACAAAATGATAAATTTACAACCTTTAATATATATAACTCGTATTATGTAGAATATACTCCTTTTTCTGAAAAGTAATTGGTTTTTTAATTAGTCTTTTTGTCAGATGCTGAGCTTGCCAGATCCTATAAAATTCACCTTGATTAGTTGTGTTCACATGCCTGGTTGGTACTAATTTTTATTTTAATAAGTGATTAGTATATATAATACGCCAACATTATATGATGATATAGGGCTTCCATCCCCCTCTTTATCACCCAAAAAAAAAATTAATATGAAGATATAGTTGTTGAATTTACTAATAAGTTTTCTTAGTGACATTTTTTTAAAATCTATTTGTGATGAGAATAATGCTTATTTGGAGTCATCACCTCGATGAACATGACATTAGGCGGATATAGTTGGGGATGCAAATCAGGCATAAATCAAATCCAAATCAAGCTAATAAGGCGTTAACATCAAACGTGATCCACAAGTTTTCATGTGTGACTGACCACATGATGTGATCGAGGGGTTATTCGGTCGATAAAGGGTTACTGAACATGGGTTACTCGGTTAGTGTTTTGGTGTGTACCAGCTTACACACGATGTGGCTGATTAGTGACTACACCAAAAATGCGTTGAACGAAAGTCTACAAAACAATGGGAAGGAGCGAGATTTAAGTACTGAAAGCTATGTTGCGTACTTGCTTTTCATTAATGAGACTATCAATGTAACAAAGACTTAATCCCTTCATTCCTATATAATACATGTACAAATTAAAATAAAGAGTAACTTGTAGATCGTCTTTTGCAAATAGATTTAAGAACGGGTTAAAATATTACATTTTTCTTTATTTTTTTACTCGTACATTTCTAATGATTTTATTAATTAACAGAAATGTCATTATCTGATTTTTAAAAATCACTGCGTCATCATCCCTTTTTGGATTGATTTACACTCTCCATTTAAGATGGGTGATGGTAACATTACATGTAATATGGAAGTTTAGAAATTATTTTTTTATTTTTTCTAAAATTGATATGTTCGTACGTACATGAATTTCCAAAAATAATAACACGCACTAAATTCCTTGTTAATACAAATGTGTATAGCAAATGATTTTGGATTAGCTCTTGGGATTTCGTATAAAATAAGAATATCTCGACAATTAACTACTTTAAAAGTGGCGAAACTATATACGCTTTATTTTTTTCCAACAAGTTTTACTTTTAAAACCTTTTAGTTTTATAACTTAACATGTGTCCATGAACATAGATCAGACAAGCCGTTATGTACAACACAAAATTACTCGATCAATTTAGATATTCAATCTAGTTTATGTTGCAAGCAAGGCGAATTTGACTAGTTATTGGCACTACTAGTCATCACCCCAAACAAAATCAAATCAAAACAAAATAATCCTCATTAAATTCAATCTAGGTTGGCTAAATACTAATCAAACATATATAGTTACATTACATAGAGTATATATTATGATTCATCATATCAAATTCAATCTTAGGTAAAGTATATACCCCTCGAGGGAAACGAGTTGATCCAAGCACCCAATCTTCCAATTTTCATCAAAAATACACATATTTTCTTGCTAAAAATATACAAAATAATTACATTATAACACATTTTTTTCCAACCAACGTCCTCATTTTCCACGAGGTCGGGCAGCATAGACTATAAATACAGAGTAGAAAACAACGAGTAAACCATGTCAATTCACCAGACTAATCTTCACTTTCTCTCTCCTCATAAACTAAAGATCTCATCATTTTCTCTCTCTTCTTCTTCATCATCTTCTCAATTTCATCGATCGTTTAATTTTCTCAGAAATTGATTAAATTTCTCAGAGATCTTCAACAATGGCGGCGGAGAAGAGTTGGGTGAGGTTAGTGACGGCGCAAACGCCGACGAACATTGCAGTGATTAAGTACTGGGGAAAGCGAGATGAAACCCTAATTTTGCCGATTAATGATAGTTTGAGTGTTACTCTTGATCCTAATCATCTTTGTACTACCACTACTGTTGCTGTCTCTCCTGCATTTCATCAAGATCGTATGTGGCTCAATGGCAAGGTATTGCTATGATTTTTATTGTTATTGTTGGAAATTTGAGCTTTTTGGTACTAATGTGTGTAATTTTTTTGCAATTTTTTGTGTTAATTTGAAGAAAAATTGAAACTTGCGAAAAATTGATAGCTGGCAAATGTTGCATATGAAATCTGTATGATTTGAGTAATAATTGGCAAGTTTTTGTTGTAAATTTGAGCTATTTGGAATCAATGTGTGTAATCATTTGAAAATTTGTTGGTTGATTGAATAGTAATTGATAGTGATATTTATAGTTGGTTAATTTTGCATTTGAAATTTGCATGATTCAAATGATTGCAGAAATTTTAATTTGTTTCACATTTACCAAATTTTTTGAATTAGGATAGGTATTAGTGTGATCAGAGCCATTTTTTTTTTATTATTATTATTTTTATTATTATTATTAACATTAGCCGTAATTTTTGAAAGTTCAAATTATCATTTGAAAATTGTATGATTTGATGGTGTTGCAAATATGAGTGTATAATGTTTGGTAAATAGTAATTGCATAGAGATTGATTTTCTTGATCGCAAGTTGCATAATTTAATGTAATACTTACATTCATTTTAGAAACATAATTTAATGTAATAGTTACATTCATTTTAGAAAAAGAAGCTCAATTTTTGTTGTATTGGTCTTCTTTTTGGGTTAGTGTAGGAGATTTCCCTAGCTGTAGATAGATTCCAAAATTGTCTGAGAGAAATTCGTAAACGTGCTAATGATGTTGAAGAGGAGGAGAAAGGCATTAAAATAGCGAAGAAGGATTGGGAAAGTTTACATGTGCATATTGCTTCATACAATAACTTCCCCACTGCTGCTGGGCTCGCTTCTTCAGCTGCTGGTTTGGCGTGCCTTGGTAATTTCTGATGTTTCTTGGAAATCATATCTACTTTATGATAATCTGTTGTTTGGTTCACAGTTCATCTTCTGTATTCCCTATGGTCTTAAATGGTACGAGTATGTGACATTTGTAGTTTGGGCTGTTGTTTATTTTGTAGATTTAGTTAGTTGAAGTTAATTTTCCTTACCACATATACGGGGGTGTCTATGTAAGTGAATATGGGGTTTGGAATGGGAGTCCAAATCATATTAAGTGGGCATTTCAATTTTTATTTTATGGAATTGGGATGGGGGTTTGGAAACTATGTTTATATAATTAGCACAATAAACCAAATTGCCATTCATAAAATGAGAAAAGAGGCTAGTTGTAAAGATAATAGAGCAAGGTGGTAGATACTACTTATTGCATTTTCAGTCAGCCTTTCCCCTTCCCCTTCCCCTTCCCCTTCCCCTTCCCACCCTTCAATTGTCCAACTCTCATTACCTTTATTCAAACACCCTGTTAAGGTTACCCTTATTAAGGGTTCCACGTAATGACCACGTGAAGTTTAAAGTGAAGGATGGATATATTAAATTTATGCAAGTTTCTTAGAAATAATATTGATACTATGTGGCCTATCATTTAGGGAGGGAGGAAGTATTTGATTCCAATTCTTCCTTAAGCTCATTTCCATGCATGTTTATTGATGTTTTCCCTCACGGCTATTAGTTACTTTTAGACTTTCGAATGTTTTTTTTTAAGATATAGTTCTAAGAATCTAATTGTACTAAAAGTCAGTTATGTCTATGTTTGCAGTTTTTTCTCTAGCAAAACTCATGAATTTAAAGGAAGATCAAGCACAACTTTCTGCCATAGCAAGGTATTTGATCTATTTTGAGGTGCTAAATTTTGCATGTACATCTAAGACAGCTATGATATTTGTGGTTCTGTTCAACAGAGTATTTAATTATGAATGTGCAACAAAATATTTTAATTATTGCTTGAATTGGTAATCTGAAATTAAATATTTTACAGACAAGGTTCTGGTAGTGCTTGTCGCAGCTTACATGGTGGTTTTGTCAAGTGGATCATGGGAAACGTAAGCTCTTGTTATAATTATTCTTTCTTTCCTGCTGGCCTATCTTAAATGTCTTGCTTGGATTTCTACAAATGCATAGAAACGTTTTTATTGGTATACTACTTTTATCATCCTAGCTATCTTTTCAATCAATCAGTCAAAGCCTATCCTAGCTATCTTTTCCCAAAGCTAACTTCTATGTTACTCGAGCACCTATGTCTGAGTGAGATAGTTGAAAGAAAAGTGGGAACCATGAGGAATTATCTTTTAGTTGAACAGATAATGGACCCCTAGACTGTCAATTAGAAAGTTGCTAGTTTTAAACCCTAACAATTACTGTAAAATGGAGGGGCTATGTTATCATATGTTTCTTATAACACTTGGCTGGACTGTCAAGCTACAATCAGACCTTAAGTTTAAAAGCTTTAAGGCAGTAAAAATTGAGACAACCCTGAAGAAGAAGTTAGAAAACCATATTGAAGTTAGAGGGTTATTTACTTATGTAGTTATGTCAAGTGGAAATATTTTTACTTTCATGTGATTTAATAATGTTGGTGTGGATTACATGTAGAATGATGATGGAAGCGACAGTTTTGCAGTTCAAGTCGCAGATGAGAAGCACTGGGATGATCTTGTCATTTTGATTGCTGTGGTATGTAATATTCTTTGAGTGGTCATTACTATAATCATGCTTGTTCCTGAAAAGTGTTATTCAAGTTACTGTTTCTTGATTTTTCTCTCTTTGATTGAACCTTTGGACATTATATTGGTTAATTTTAACCAGCTTTTCTCGCTACTAGCTTCTCCATCAAAATCTACTGTTTGTTTATAGTCTGCTCTGACCAGAGGTGAAACTTTCGATATAAATATGTGCAAAATGCTGGTCTTTCTGCATGTTTGCTTTTGGTGTGTTCCTTGCGAGTAGGTTATGCAAACTAAAGCCTTACTTTCTGTTGATGAGGCATCTTCCTTGTGTTCTTATATATAACTCTTCCATTCCAATTATAGCTCTTTGCTCACACAATCTATGAAATAATCCTGATCATAAACTATACAGGTAAGCTCTCGGCAAAAAGAGACAAGCAGTACATCTGGGATGCGTGAGAGTGTTGAGACAAGCTTGCTGCTGAAGCACAGAGCACAGGTACTTGACCTCTTCATTTCAGTCACCAGATTGGTGTAGGGATTCTAGCAAGACCCATATCACCACCTTACTTCTCCTAGTGCGCAGTAGAATTTTGGCAATAATAAACCATATTGGTGAAGAAAATTCTAGAACTCCAATAGTCTAGTGGTCTATTTAGGTTATTTTAGCAGGGAGTTGTAAAAGCTTTCAATTAACAACATTGCATCATTAGAATTAACTAATGTGAAATAAGGATCCAGATGTCTGACATGTTACCAACATGCTTCAGCTCCCTTCATTCTCAAGTAATTGGTGCTGAAGCCTTCTGTTGCTTGTAAACTGCTTATTTTCTAGTTAGAAGAAAGGCTATGCAAATTTTCTTAGTGTCTTTCTTTTATTTCCCTGCCAATGGTGGGTACCACCACCCTGTTTGGTGGTGTTATCACTAATGTCTGTATGTATGTTCCAAATCTCTCAGTTCTGTTACTTCTGTGTTTACCCCTTTCTACTCCCTCACCGCCTTTAGAAATGGTTAGTTGATCATTGTTTACCACTGTTTAGTTACTTTTAGTGGTTGATTATCTTATGTATTCATGTGTCATTTGACACCTGTGTACTAAAATTGTTGTAGGAAATAGTACCAAAGCGCATGGTTCAGATGGAAGAAGCCATTAAAAATAAAGATTTTCCCTCTTTTGCTCGTCTTGCTTGTGCTGATAGCAACCAATTCCATGCTACCTGCCTGGACACAACTCCTCCTATATTTTACATGAATGACACATCTCATAAGTAAGTTCCCTGTTGCCTGGTCTTTTAATTAGTAGTATGTTAAGCTTACTATTTGTCAATCTGAACACGTTATCACATAATTATATGAATTCAGGATTATTAGCATTGTGGAGAAGTGGAATCGTGCTGAAACAACACCTCAGGTTTGTCTTCTGGCCACATTCTAATATTCCTATCTGAGACAGCTTGAATGCTGCATGCACTAGAAAGTGGCAATACTTGCTCAGTTTTTCAAAATTTGTTTTTCTGATGTTTATGATCTGAAATTGTTGATATATGTTGCAGGATAATTACATTTATTATCTATAGGGATTACAAATATGTGTTATGTGTCATTTCTATCTTGGAATACCAAGAAGACTTAATCACTTGATAAGAAATAGCCAGAAAGAATATAAAAACCTAAACATTTATGTTGTTATCGTGTTGTCTCAGTGATTCCTTAATTTTCTGTGAACAAATTCAACCACTTTAAGGTACAATGGAAGATGTGTTTTTAATCTTGTGGATGAGAATTTGGTACGCAAGGATAAATTGCATTATAATATATGAAATAATGGAAATGTGGCAACATGGTATGAATCAAAACAAAATTCTTGGTTTGCTTGTTTTACACTGATAACAAACTTCTTATAATGTTTTTATAGGGAAAGCTAATATGGAGGGATCTGACTGTCCTATAACTGATACATGATCTTTGGCTAGCAATGTTAAAAGCTAAATTTTGCCTAGTTTAGGAATAACTATGTTGCTGATTTGAAAGGATAGATAGAAATCGGAAAATAGTCTTTGTGCCTTCACAGATGACAAACTGGATAATCTAATGTTTTACTTCGTAGGTTGTAACTCAAATAACCATTTTGTCAGCTTTGATTGTATATCTGCATCCAATCCTTAACTTTGACATTGCCCCCCTCTCTGTATTAGAGAAATTTACACGCAAATGTGATCTGAAAACCTGAATGTGTCACATGAATGTCAGCTATTATTGTAGTTTGCATGTTCTTTGGGATCATTGAGCCACTAAAAAGCCTAGCAAAAATTGTACCTTGGTATCTGTAGTTTGTTCACTGGTGGATTTAAATAGGAATTGGGGTTATAAATACATGGAATATGGTTGAACTCTAATTGTAGAGTTCAGCTCTGTTATTTGACGCAGTCCAATGAATGTGTTTAGTTTGTATAAAAGCCATATCTTGATTCGGTTATATTCGGGCTGCCCCTATTGCATCGACTTGTTGGTTGCCACTTGCCACTTAGGAATGGTAAGAATTGCTGTAGAGAGCTAGGGACTGTGCCCTCTTTGGCTTAGCTTGGCTTTGGCTTTTTTTGCTTCAAGAATGTTTCTTGAATATCTATGTAGGATTTCCCTGGTCATAAAGGCTGAACTGTTCAGCTGATAGTTTGTCTGCTTCAGAACTAAGTGATCATCTATTTCCACATCTCTTATTTTCTTGTGATGCTGTTGTGTAAATTTTTCACTAAAAGTTGATTTGTTAAGAAAATTTACATTGGTTTGCCTTTATCTACAATTTTAATATCTAGAAAATTGGCAGGTGGCATATACTTTTGATGCAGGACCAAATGCTGTCCTAATTGCACGTGACAGAAAGACTGCTTCTCTGCTTTTGCAACGAATGCTTTTTTACTTTCCCCCTGGTGCTGATGCTGATCTTAATAGGTAATATACTAACTAGATTGCCTATGTTATAAAAAGCACCCGTCATTTTATTCTTGTGGGAAGTTCTAATTTAAACCTCATTTGTGTTCTGTAGCTATGTTCTTGGAGATAAGTCTATTCTTCAAGATGCTGGGATTAAAGATATGGAAGATGTGAAGTCCCTGCAATCGCCTCCTGAAATCAAGGATGCCAACTCCAACCAGAAGTATGCTGGAGACGTTAGTTACTTTATTTGTACAAGACCTGGACAAGGCCCTATTGTGCTATCAGATGAAAGTCAGGCTCTTCTTAATCCAGAAACAGGATTGCCAAAGTGAAGATGCTACAATCTCCTCCTACAAATATGGTTTGTTGGCCTTCTAAACACTTGTAATGTTTAAAATCATTCGTTGGACATGACAAAAGAAGTAGCAATTTCACATATCTCACTTGATCACTAGCTATTTATTTGAAGGAACAAGTAGCACTGTGAAGTTCTCTCGCGTGAGCCTCATGCTGCTGTAATATTCGATTTAGGCATTGTAGTCATGCTCTTTAGGGTGAAACAATTTAGGATTTGAGATTTTTTTTTTATCCTGTATTGAGGTTCGGATGTTGAATCATGGCCATGAGAGAATTTGTTTATGGTTGATTTGTTTTAGTGTATGCTATTTTAGGGTGATTAGGATTTGAGAATTTGTATACTTCCACAAAATGAAAAGAGTACTACAAGAGGGTGCCTACAAGTAAAAACCTTAATTACCACAATCATATTACAAGTAAAAAAAAAAAAAAAAAAAAAAAAAAAAAAAAGTCACAAATTACAACTTAATTCAATACCTAAAAAGTTAAGAACCACAGGCATATAATACATTAATGATCTTTCTTTATTAAGCTTGATATGTTTTTCAAGAAGGCACAGTAGTTAAGTAGATGGGCACACAATTAGATCATTCTCGAAATTTGGTGGAGCTGCAAGTATTGGGTTTTTGCTGAAAAAGTTAACAGGTTTTAAATCAAAACCCGAAGTCACTGTTGGCATGACAGGAAAATCCTCTTGACATGGTATGTGATGGAAGCCTAAGATGTACCAAAGTACAATATCCTTGTTCTCTATAGGTCTGTCCCTGCAAAATTCGAATAATATTTGCAAATTAGTTAGGATCGAATGGATATAAGTTATGCTATACCGCATAGATGTTATGGATTACCTATTAGACCATGTTGCAAGAGTGTCATCGCCATGGCTTTGCCAAACAAACAACCCACCAGCCCACAACTCGCTTTGGTTATATGGGGTGACCCATATTTGGTTATTGGTGAATGCTGCCCTCTTTTGAGGCGGATCCTCCAAATCAAGCAAGCTCGCTGCATTAGCACCCGGAACCAGTTTATACCCAACCGGGTTTCCGACTTGTGTCTTCTTATTCGGGTTGACAAAATGAAACTCTGATGGCTCATATAAACTAAGTTTGGTTTGTGCATCTTTCTCAGTTTTAACAACATTTTTTGTAACTTTTAAGTAACTTTTTCTAGGTGATTTTTCAGGAGAAGTTTCTTGTCTTCGGAGATCTACCTTAACAAATGAGTTATTCGAACCATCCACGTCCAAGTCAAGATAAAATGCAACGTAGTGATCATGTATGACTCCAATTGCATTTTCAGTGACTAATGTGCCATAAAGGTCTTCTTCTTTAGGCACCTCCTTCATGTTCTTGTATTTTGTTCCTTTCACAATTGCAATACCACTCAATCCAACCTGTTACAAATGAGAAGTGTTTCTCTTTATAACTGACATACGGTCATACTAAAATCTCATTTAATTAAGTAAAATAAGTAACTCATCAACAATATAATAAACAGTCGTACATAAATAAAAATGCATACAAACATTTCATACCTTATTTTATATAGATATAGTCAATTAAACTTATGTGTTATTATAATTGAGTTTTTGATTTTTTTTTTTTTTTTTTGACAAAAGAGTTTTTGAACTTGTCAATTAAACTTATATTATATGTTACAGAGTAACATAATCGTTTTTTTTTTCTTTTTTTTTTCACCTAAACATTAAATTTGTAATGTCAAGATTCTTATGCTCATATCTTATAAGATGAGAAATTGACAATCCATGAGATATTCAAAAGAAGTAAAAAACTAACCTCAGTCCTAATGAGCCCATCAGATTGGAAAATCCAATCGATGATGTAATCGTAATTACCAATTGTTGATACCATTCTAGCCACCAACTTCACTTTCGGTCTCACCTCACGTACCTACAACCCAATACAATTAGTTGTATATAGAAAATTGTCCCAATATAAGTATTTATTGACATACAACACACATGACAATGTTATATCCATTATTTAATAGGTAACAACATAAGTGTCACATTTCTCACTTTATATATCTTAGTAAAATATAAAACATGTTCAAAATTACGAGTAGTACAGAACATATAAAAGGTGAGTGAAATATTCTAATTGTTGCAAAAATCATTACCTTATTTTCGGCAAAATTACCCTCGGTGTGACGCCATGCAACATCACCACCATAACTCTCAAAAACACAAATTATGTTCGATTGGATGTATGGTTTCCCATCAGCAACAAACACTCCATCCATAAAATGTGCATTTTTAGGGCAATCATTATACGGGTCAAGTGATACCGCTGTCAAACCTAGCCCGTATTCGCCTGCATCCAAATACGTCTTAAAATACCATGACTCGGTTGGATCCATATACGGAACAAATAACTCCGAGACCATTCCTTTATATAACACACTTCTTAGCTCACCACTATCCGGGTCTTGAAACTTGGCTTGGGAAATGACCAACCCGGCTCTTGGGTCGGGTTTGAGGTGAAATTCCCAATTTGCCCATTTGATCAAATGGTCATTTTTAACCTTGAAGCTTGGGCCTGTGGGCTGCTCAATGGATATTGGGTTAATGGGCTTATTGATTTTATTTGAGTTATTTTGGGCCAAAAAACGATAATCTGAGTTAATTCCCTTAGGAATTGGAATGTGTTTTCCATGGTCCAAAATCTCAATCACTTGATTAGTGTCCAAATTAACAACTGCAGTTAATCCTTCAATTGGCCTCATGTAGAAATTAACCGTGTTTTCCGCAGAGAAGCATTGTATCTTTATTATCCTCTTATTCTCCTCTTTTTTTCCGTACCACCCTACAACGAAAATTACATTCAAATTTGAAAGTCTTCTTTAAAATAATCTACCGTATAATTATACGTAACCTTGTATGCATACTTACTTGGAAGACTTTTCGATTTTATAATTTAGCCAACTAATGTAATGGTGTAGATAAAATAGTGCAAATTTTTATTTTGATTTTAAAAAACTTACAATCAACCAACCTACCTACTACAAAGTAGTATAAGTTTACTAGATTAAAATAAAAATAAAAAACAAAGAGTCAAAGTCAATTTAATTGGATCAATGAAAGCGATTGTAAAAGTCAATGCGGGCTATTTTATTATTTTTATTCGGCAAAAGTTAACGAATGTCCCGGGGGCGTTGGTTAAGCTAGCTAAAAGTAGAAGGATTAAATTAAAAATTAACATTAATCACACCGATCTATGCGTAGTTTCGTCATTTATTCCTAAATTAATACTCCGTACCACTTTAGGTAATATTTTAAATACTTATACAATGCCCGGGACGTTCGTTAGCAAAATCCTTTTTATTTTTCTTTTTTTTTTTTTTTTTTTTTGGGGGCTCACTAATCACTATTGAATATTGATACTGACATATATACAAGAGAACCTTATTAAAATAACCTATGAAGTTAATTTAATTCTAGTCAAACAACTTTGCAATTCGATTAATAACATGGATGAAATATGAGTGGGTCCTGAATTCGTGCTCTACCGTACGACTCCGACTCTAGATTAAAAAATGGTAAGAGTACGTATGTACACCGAAATACTCCATAGACCATAGTAGTAATTAGTAAATGTCAAAAGTCAATTTAATTCTTTTGCATGAGAAGATGCCATGGACGAGTATATTTAATTATTACGAGTACTTTATAATATGCATGTAACATCTCATATATACATATATATCTTTTTACTTATAATATTTTACTAGGTTAAGTCCCGTACCATGCACGGTAATTTTTAATACTTAATACTTAATCATTAGTTTAATACTATTATTTAATTATAAAAAATTATACCTAATTACAAAATAGGATGAAAGTTCTGTATTTACAAAAAAATAAAAAATAAAAATTAAAAATTCATCACACTAAAGAAAACAGAGACAATAATATATGCACGACTCATAAATATAACTATGAATTACATTACAAAGTTATAAACTATTATTGCATATTATTGTATAAAAAAAAAATAATATCTTTGTTTAAATGTGTACAAATAGAATATACTTATCAAATAGGAAATGAAATATTATTGCATAGTTTGTATTAAAAACTTTTTTAATAAGCTTTGGCCCAAAAAAAAAACAAAACAAAAAATAAAAAATAAAAAATAAAAAATAAACTTTTGGAGGGAATATTTTTAACCAGGAGATGACATGTGTCATTCCTGATTTCGCCTTTAATATAAAGTTATAGATAGGTTAAGTCCCGTGCCATGCACGGTAATTTTTAATACTTAATACTTATCATTAGTTTAACACTATTATTTAATTATAAAAAATTATACCTAATTACAAAATAGGATGAAAGTTCTGTAATTACAAAAAAAAAAATATTAAAAATTCATCACACTAAAGAAAACAGAGACAATAATATATGCACGACTCATAAATATAACTATGAATTACATTACAAAGTTATAAACTATTATTGCATATTATTGTATAAAAAAATAATATCTTTGTTTAAATGTGTACAAATAGAATATACTTATCAAATAGGAAATGAAATATTATTGCATAGTTTGTATTAGAAACTTTTTTAAGAAGCTTTGGCCCAAAAAAAAAACAAAACAAAAAATAAAAATAAAAACTTTTGGAGGGAATATTTTTAACCAGGAGATGACATGTGTCATTCCTGGTTTCGCCTTTAGTATAAAGTTATAGATTTATCCATGTCTCTATATGAAGTTGAGACAAATTAACCACGATTATAATACTTTGCATATTGTCTTAAGCAAAATCATACGAGTATATATATAAAATTAAATTAAATTAAAAAAAAAAACAAAAAACAAAAAACAAAACAAAACAATAAACGGAGTAGTAACTTTGTTTTACCAAAATGTCTCATTCTAATTTCATTTTAATTTCCACATATATCTTCCTTGCTATGCCTTAAATGCTTTAATTAAATAAGTATACATAGAGAATAATAAGTAAGCTAGGACAAATAGATGTAAAAAGAATTCATACCTGGAGACAAAGGTGCACAAACCAAGTCCTTAAAGTCAACCCCACGGTCACTGATGCTCTTGTTAAACTGAGCACTAGAAAATGGTGCGGTCAAGGCAGCTAGCATCTCCTCTAATGTTGGAATAGGATACCCTGACAATGGGTTAGTCTTAACCTGATCAACCCGACCCAACTTTAGGTCCACGACGAGCATGAGGAATGGCCCATCATCAAATCGTGCAACAACAGAGGCCTTTCTAGGGGACAAAGGATCACCTTGCCTCCAATTAAGTACGTATGACTTAAGGGGCTCCTCTAGAACCACAGAGTGAAGAGAAAAGGACTTATTAGTCGCATAGGAGGAGAGTATAACTCGTACCTGGTTTATCTCTTGGACCGTTAATGGGTCCATTGGATGACGAGCTACATTAGTTGTATGATTGTTAACTCCAGCTTTAGAAGTTGTCAACTGTAAGGAGATTATTAGTAGAGAAAGAATAGTAAGGTAGCAATTTCGGGTTGTAAAATAGGCCATATGCCTCAAACGTTAATATGTACTGTACGTCTAGCTAGAGAAAAAAAAAAGTGTTATTAGAATGATGGTTGATTTGATTTGTTATGCGTAATGTGTGTGTATATATAGTAGTAGAGGGTATTCATTGGCATAGTTTAAAGATTATAATAACATGCATAAATTCAACAATAAGATTATTATACTCGTAGTTGATTTGTAAAAAATCAAATGTGTGATTATCTAGCCTGCCATAGATTATGACTTGAGTATAAAAGAAATAAGTTTCAAATCATACATGCATATTTTTAAAGTTGAATGTCATTTTTCGGACTTTTTTTTTTTTTTTTTTTTTTGAATATTATGAAGCTTGACCAACTTGCTTTCAAATTATAAATTACATTCACAATTTTAGTAGCAAATGTAATGCACAGTCAACAACTAATCAAGTAATCGTCTATTCATATCTGTTAGTAATCTCATACGAGCAAGGAATTTGAGAAATAAATAAATTATGATGAGTAAATTGTTTACTTGAGCAACGAGTACTATGCTTATATTTCTCAAATTCATTCTATTAATTGACCATTGTCAATAATGAGGAAAAAAAAGTTTTCCTCATTCATCTACCCATTTTCTCTCACTAAAATCCTCATTTTCTCTCACAAAATTTGATGAGAAAATTTTATCCCACCAATAATTAAAAAAAAAAAAAAAATCCTCACCACTCTCTCTCTCTCTCTCTTACTTTTTCTATATCCCACTAACATTTTCTCTCTCCAAAAAAATCATCATATTTTATTAAATTAATTTTTTATATTATTTATATACTTTTATATAATAACGATTATGAAACAAATAAATCTAATTATAATTAATTATTAGTTTAATTAAGAATTTACACGAATAATCAACCATTTGATTAAAATGATGTGCTTTGAGGTACAATCAAGAACAACCACAAAACACGTCGTTTTGAGATGCAGTAAGCCAAAAAAAATTACTTGATAATTGAGTAGCAAGTGGTGGGGAGCCCACCTGCTACGTACTATGTTGGATTAAAGTGAGTAAAAACCAAGTTTTTTGGAGGTTGATTAGTTTGCTCCACAAGGAGGTTGTAGCCTATGATGCTTGTCCACAAGTGGGTTGTGGAGTTGACTTTTTATGTCTATTTTATAAGGAAAAATCAGCCTACTCCACGAGTAGGTTGTGACCAGTAACGATTGCCTAAAAGTAGGTTGTGTAGTAGACTTTTTATGTCTACATACATCCAACTTTTGACATTCTTCCTTCATCTCTTGAAAACTCTTGTAACCCCCCCCCCCCCGCCACATTAAATTGGATGTTTATATTGATTTAATCATCCTTTGGTGTCTAGATTCATCCTCTCTTATTCTTCATCTCTCATTATATATCTTCGTGATTGGAAAAATAAGAAAACACATTAAGTATAATTTTCTTTGAGTATAATTTTCTCTTATCTTGTTCATTTTGTTAACTATTTGTTCTACACCCTACTTATATAACAACATACTATTCATCAAAAATTTTGCTCATGAGGAAAAATCAAGTTCCTCACTACGGTGAAGCCCATGAGGAAGATTTTCCTCCATTTTTCCTCATGAGGAAAATTTTCACTGTTGACAATGCTTAAGGGGTGCGTGAAATTGCACTTAAACTCATGAAATTTTGTAGGATTAGGTGAAAATGCAAGGAAAAAAATAATAGTAAAAGGCTAAAAATCACATGTCTCTATGTCATTGTTTGTGTAAACAAACATTTCATTATCAAGGACCGAGTTTGAACCTCTTGTTCGACGATGAAGAGCTTCAATCACCACTATATTATCCAATTCTTTGTAAAAAGCCTCATGCACTTCATGAGGGTACTCTTCTAACAAAAGACGCGAACTACTATAATAAAAGTTGATTTTTGCTAAGCTATAAGCAACATGAAATTTTATCTCTTGGACCGTTAATGGGTCTATTGAATGACAATCTACATTAGTTGTATGATTGTTAACTTTAGCTTTAGAAGTGGTCAACAGTAAAGAAATTAATTATTAGTGGAGAAAGAATGATAAGGTAACAATTTTGGGTTTTATAATAGGCCATATGGCTCAAACGTTAATACGGCTAGGTAGAGAATAAAGTGTTATTAGAATTATGGTACGGTTGATTTGATTTGTATGTGTAATGTGTGTATATATAGTACTCCGTATTAGAGAATATATATTGGCATAGTTTAAGGATTATAAAAATGCATATATTCAACATAATAAGATGAAAAATTGTTGATTATCGTGCCTTAATTAAAAAAAAAAAAGTTAGGGTGAGGTTTAAAGGGATTTTTTTTTAAGGAAACCGAGCGTTTAAAGGAATTATTATACTCCGTAGACCGTAGTTGATTTGTAATATAAATCAAATGTGTGATTAACTAGCCGGCCATAGATTATGACTTGAGTATAAAATAAATAAGTTCCCAATCATGCATATATAACGTCAATTTTCGGACCCCTTTTTTTTTTTAATAAAGCTTGGCCAAGTTGCTTTCAATTCTTAAAAAAAAATAAAAATAAAATGCTTTCAAATTATAAATTACATTCACAATTTTAGTAGCATACATATAAGTACAATCAACAACCATGCAATGTAATTAATCTCAAACGAGCAAGGAATTTGAGAAATAATTAAATTGAGATAAGTTGGTTGTTTACTATTATTATTATTTTTTTTTTTTTGAAAGAAGTTGGTTGTTTACTAGAATACTATGTTTTTATTCTTTCTCAAATTCATTCTATTAAATAAATTGTGCGTGAAATTCCCCTAAAATAAAAAGTGGAAATATTAAACTTATTCAAAACTTGTTGAATTTTGGAAGTAAATTACTGTTTGGGCTCAATCAAAAGCTAACAATGTCATCATTAATAGCTTTGCCCTAAAAAAAAAAAAAAAAAAAGTGTCATCATTGAAAGCTAAGTAGAATATACTTCCTCTATTTTTCTTTTTATTTATTTATATATTTACAATACTTTTCTTTCACATTTGTCCATCTACTATTTCAATCGTTCATACTTTCAATTATCAATACGTAAAATTATAAACATATGATATTAAAATAGGGGCAATTTCAAGTTTCTCCGAAAATCAAGATAAATCTAACAATATCTCACATGACTATAGCTTAGTTTAGCCATAAATCACCAAAGCTAGTTAGTCAAAGTAAAACATATAAATAGTGTAAAAGTCAAAATGTAACAAAATATAATAAAATGGAGGAAATATTAAATTGAGGAAAGAATTGAGAATTGTATATATCAATCACATAAAAACATTTCATGAATCACCACCAACAAGTTTAGCATTTCATTAATCAAGCAAAAGTTGAATATCTTCACAAATAGCCTCATGCAGCTCATGAGGGTACTCCTCTAACTAAACACGCAAATTACAGCTGATTTTTGCTAAGCTACGAGCAACTAACATGGACTCAATTCATGAAGCAGGATAACAGGGGAGTAGTATTCTTAAACACACTAACATTTATTTACCAAAAATAGGTAGGATTCTTTTTTCATTTATTTCCTTCTTCTTCCTCCATTCATTTTGAGTTTAGATAGATTATTCCTTGTACTTTACTTTCTTACAAAAAAATCTCATAATTAAAAGTTTCGAAGTAACACTATTGATCAATCGTTTGACAATAACAACAACAACGAACAGAGCAGCTAGCAAGAAGAAAAGCAAAATGAAGGACGTCATAGGTTGTCTGGGGACGAAGGCCGGCTTGGTATTAAGGATAGGGCAATGTAGTTTCGCCGCTACCTCAATTATACTCATTTTTTTTTTGAAACCACCTCAATTATACTCATAGTTATTGCTACGATGCCTGATTTCTTGTAGTGCAATCAGGTAAATATTAGCGTTAATAAGTATATATGTTAATGTTAATTACCTTCATTCACTTAATTGTAATGTATCATTTTTTTTTGTTCAGCTACTTGGTTATGGCAATGAGATGGCAGGTTTTTTGGACCTTGGGGCTAATATGCGTCGATATATTCGCTATTAAAATGAACAAGGATCTTAGGACTACTTCCTTTTTCATTGTAATTCTTGTTGGTGATTGGGTGTATGCATATATAAATATGTGTTTGTATTATTAAGAGTATAATCGACTAACTATAATACAAATTGATATCAGGTGACATGGATTACGTCGCTCGCAACGACGAGCTCATCAGGAGGAGTCATAGCTCTATATGCACACGATAATGGTAGCTGCTTGGAAACACCAGGTCTTTGTGGTATGATCATGGTTTCAATTATAATTGCCTTCATCAGTTGGATACTTATGACAGTATCTGCTCATGTGGTATTTTGGACTTGGGCTTCTATTTGAAACTATATATATATATATATATATATATATATATATATATATATATATATATATATATATATATATTTGTTGTGATGATGTAATTAGTGTTTCGGATGAAAACAATGGGGCCTTGCCGAAGGCCCACTGAAGTGGCTGAAGACTGGTTCGGTCCAATTGATGCTGGGCCGAAGGTTTCCTGCACAGCTAAAACACGTAAACTGGCCTCGGGGGTGGATCCGAGGAAGACCCCTCCGATGCCGAAGTCAGACAATGCTTTGAGAGAGAAAGCTATGCAAGAGATTTTGTTGCTTGAGGCTTTGTTGTGTATATCATAAATGAATGAATTGAAGGCTTTTATACCTTTGCATATGAGGAGAGGAGAGTAATTGGGCCCTTAAATAGTCATGGGCTGACCATGGCAATTCAGACCAAAGGACTCTTGGCTGACTTGGCTTGATTGGAGGCTCGGGCCTTGACCTTGGAATGTTGGATCATTTAATGACCAGGCCCAATGAGATAATTGGACCCAAATAGATGACTAGGCCCAATTAGGTAAATTGGACCCAAACAACTTGCCCCCCATACCCGATTTGGAAGGATGACGGGTCGGGTTTGAATCCAATAAGAAATGGAGGGAAGCAAATGATCTAATCAAATCAAGAGATTTAAATTTTTAAACAGTTATTAATTAAATAAATGTAATTTGGATAATCAATAGAAAGTGGAGTGGATAGTGGGCGGTTAATCAAGAGAGAGAGTGTTTAACGGTTAATTAAGGAGGCATTTAAGGGAAATTTGAACTTTTCGACCTTTGGGATTCTCCTTCCTGGAATTATAAGGTCTAATTCGCATTTCAACCTCATTTCTTCACCAACTTACACTCAAATTCTCGCGCAAACCCATCTTCGCTTCGAATTTCTAGCGCACCATTCTCAAATCCGAGTTCGATACTCAAATCCATCGCTTCCACTGATTTGACCGGCGTATTCCGGCCAATTTGAAGGTAATTTTCTTCGAGTTTTTTCGATTTTCTTGCCTTTTTTAAGGAAATTCTTCTTCTCCCTTCTTTCCTTCTTTGAATTTGGTTATGGCTCGAGAAAGGAGGCGTCAACCAGGTCGATGGGGTCAGGTTAGGGATCCCCGTGACCGCGCCGATGTTTGGAACGGGGAACGAACTGGGGAAGACCCGGAAAGGGGGATTCCGACCGTTCCTTTAAACGCCGCGCCGCCTCGGCAGGACGCCGAGGCCGGCGAGGTGGAGCAACCTGAGAAGAGAGAACGGGCTAGGTAGGCTGAAGATTTGCCCCCTGTGCTCTGGGACCTGCTTCCTGGGCATGCTGAATGGCAGGACGCCGAGCCCCAGGATGCCATGGTGAGAAATACCCCATACTCGTGGTGGGTTCGGCACGCCGAAACCTACCGGTTCGCCGAGCAAATTGAGTTTCACTACGGCATTTTTGAAGAGGATGGGCATTGGTGCCGAATGCCCTCGCCGACTGACAGGATTCACTGTCCCCCTCCTGGGTATATAGGAGTTTACACTCGGCAATTACAATACGGGCTTCGGTTTCCTTTGGATCCCTTCGTCAGGGATATTTTAATAAAGTACATGATCTCCCTATGCCAATTAACACCCGTTAGCATTCGGCGGGTGATGACTTATCTCTGAGTGTGTCGGTTTTTTGCTGTTGAGCCGAATTTGCACTGCTTCCAAAAGATGCATCAGCTAGTGCAAAACCTTCAGAGCACATACGGCCAACATGGGTCTTCAGGCTGGTGGCAAATAGAGAGCCGCCCCCATTATCTGACTATGTGGCCGAACGACTCCTCGGACAAAGATTGAAGGGGTCAATGGGTCTGGGTGAGAGTTCCCGCTGATCCCGAGCATCCCTATTTTTTCGGGGCTCCCCGATACCTCTCCAGGCCTGATCCGAACATGCAGGATTTGGGCCTTGAGGACCCTGATGCAGCTCGTCACCCCAGCTACGAGCAAATGAGCTTCTTCGGGAAGCAGAATAACCCTGGGGGAGTTGGCCGAATGAGATTTTCCCGGCCAGATGACTTCCAGATAACCATTACGTCTTCCAAGAGAAGATGTTGGCAGTTGTCGGCCTCAGCCGAAAGTACAGGGATGGTAAGTATGTTCGGCTGGGGCCAAGGACTTTGACTTGTTTAATTTTCCGCTTATCTTTGATGCTTATTCCCGTAGTCTAACCTTCGTCTGTTCTTTTCAGAGCTGAGCGAAGCTACTTCGGGGGTTGACTATAACCGGCTTGGGGTGAACGCTGAACGAGTCATTTTAGACCGGGCTCCAGCGATCACAGCTTCGAAGGACTGTCCGCTGCATCTGCAAAAAACAGGCCTTCAGATTGAAGCTGCCGCCGAATACACCAAGCAGAAGCCTTGGTGGGAGAAGCGAGATCCCCTTTGGCCTTTATTACCTGAGGAAGCACAGGCTGCTCAGACAGCAGCTGACGTGTCCCGAGTAATCGACTCCTTGGAAGGAGATGTTGGGACATCTGGTGCTGCTGAGAGGGATATCCCTGCATCTGGAGCTCAGCCGAGGGTTTCAGTAAGTTCATGACTTGCTCGTTTTTTTTTTTACTCACACTTTGCTGCCCCCCCTTTCTGCAGTCCGAGGAAGGGAAGGGAAGGCGCCTGCTCGTTCTGAGGATCCATCTTCGTCAGAATCTGAAGAAATGGACGAGCAGCCCTTAGCAAAGAGGAGAAGGAGGTTAGCCGTGTTGGGGCCTCGTCAGTTTCAGACGGGGATGAGGCCTACCGGGGGCATCCTCATACGGGAGCCTGATGAAGGTAGACGCTCGCCGAGGGCTCCCCCTCCGCCGGAAGCTCCGTGTCCTCAAACCCCCCCTCCACCTCCCGAAACTCAAGAGATGGAGGTGGACCAAAGAACTCTTGATCTGAAGGGGGGGTTCAGGGATGCCCTGTTGAAGATTCTGAGAAGCCGATTGATGAAGGCTTCTCAGATGATATTGATAGGGAGGTTGACGCTTTTCTTCGTCAACCTGATCTGGGGGAGGAAGCAGAGGAGGTCGTTGCTGCTGATCCTGGTGGAGACCAATTGGGCTCCGCCGAAGGAGAAGGTCATGCTGAGCCTAAGAAGATTCAGGAGGTTCCCTCTTCTTCCTTCCCCTCATTCCAGACGCTGAACTCTGGAGATTTGGGTTTCTCGGCCCCCCGCGTCAATGTCCCATAACCTGTTTGGGAACGAATTTGGGGCCAGAACCGTGAAGGGGCTGCAGGTTACTTCGGCGACCTATCTAGCATGTCCGAAGTGGACCGAGCAAGGGTGTGGTCGCTGAAGGCCACGGCTGGGATGGGAGAATCCAGCCGAAGGGTCCCTGACCCTGCAAGAGACAACCAGCGTTTGCTGATGCAGGTACTTAACCTTTTAGTTACTTTGCTTTGCTTTCATTCAGCTCTTCTCCTCCTTTCTGGCTCTTTCCTTTTTTATTATTTTATTTATTTTAACTGATGTGCCCCTGAAAACAGCTTGTGCACAATCAGACTCTTACTGTAGTGTTGATTGACACCCTCCCAGACAAGCTGGAGCATGCCTGGGAGGATGAAAAGATTGCCCGGGAGGAGGCGAAGCTTGCTGAGCTGAAACAGCAGGCTGCTGAAGAGAAGCAGCAACAGAGCGAAGAGTATGAAAAAAGGGTTGCTGAAGCCATTCAAACCTTCTGCTCGGCTATGGAGAAGGAAGTTTTTCCCCCGCTGATGGAAGGGGAGAAATTCCTTCAGGAGCAAATGGGAGTGGACATCTCCAAATTTAAAGCTGCCATCGAGAGCCGAATTCAAGAAGGAGCTGCTGCACAAGCTGAAGTGCAGCAGAAGCTGGAAGCTCTTGAAGCCAGCAGGATGGCTGCTAAAGAGGCTCTACAGGCTAGGGATGTTCACCTTTCTGCTGCCCAAGCTGCTGCTGAGAGCCAGGACCAGAAGCTGAAGGAGCTGGAGGATCAGCTGAAGGTGAAGGGAGATGAGCTGACCCAAGCCAAGGCCGAGGCTTCTAACGTCCAGCTGGAGCTTAATGAGAAGAAGACTTCTTCCTCCAAACTCTCAGAAGAGTTAGAAAAATCTAAAAAGGATTTGGAGGAGAGTCAAAAGAAGTTGGCTGACGCTGAAGCCTTACTTCAAGTCTGCCTCTACACCCAAGAAGAGTATGAGATGGGCTACATAAATGGGTTTAAGGTGGCTCGGAGGTTGGCTCTCCATGCTGAGCCTTCGATGGATTGGTCCAAGTGTGCGCTTTGGGCTCAGGACCCCGAGGATCCGCACATGTTGTATGCCACTCCTGCTGAGCATGAGATCCTTCAGGCTGAACAAGCCGAGGAGGAAGCTGAGCGGCAGGAGTTGGAGGCTGAACAGCGAGCCGCTGAAGCTCAGGCAAGGGCCCAACCTGCCTCCTCTGCTGCTGGAACCGAGACTGCCCCGGGGCTAGGCCCGGCTGATCAGCTTGATCCTCCGACTGAAGCATAGGAAATCGGGCAGTCGTCTTCAGAGTCTTGCAGATCAACATGTGCTTAACTTTAGACTCGCCACTTTCTGAATCTCTTTTTGCCTTATCTTTTTGCTTTAGCTTGCCTTGATGTACAAACAGTTTATTTTTGTTTCTGTACGTATTTTGACAGCTGTTATTTTCCGCTTGTGGGCGGCTGCCGATATAGTCTTTAATTTATTTGAACTTTGTAGCTTGCTTTCTGAGCATTACTTTCATTAATCTGATGCTTCTTCTTCGATTGCTTTGTCTTATTTTGAATGCTTTACTATTTCTGAACTTTGAAAATTTCGCAAAAATTTGCTAAGAACAAAGCTTTCGACTTGAAGAATTCTGCTAAATATAAACTTGCACTGATAGTGCCTCTTGCCCCCCGCCAGGAATCTGAAGACTCGGGTCTTTGGATTGCTGAGTTGGGTTTTGTTTCTTTAGCTTTCAGACGAAGCTGAATAAAATATTTCTATCTTTAAAAATGGATATCCGAAACACAGGGCCAACTGAAGGCAATGTTTCGGATAATGGCTTTCTGGGATACAAGGCTCAGTTAAGGCAATATCCCAGACTTTTCCGTGGACTCATGTCTTTAGAGAGCAAGTCTTACTGAAGTTTGACTTCAGCTGAAAGATCGGTGTTCTTTAAAAAGACGAGTTTGTCAGCAATCTGAAACCCAGTTACCCGGAGGCGAAGGTTTCAGACGAGGCTGAATAAAAAATCTCCAACAGTTGTTGTTGTCCTTGATTTTCTGTCTATCTTTTAAAAATGGATTTCGAAACACAGGGCCAAATGATGACAATGCTTCGGATAATGGCTTTCTGGGATACGAGGCTCAATTAAGGCAATATCCCAGACTTGTCCATGGACTCATGTCTTTAGAGAACAAGTCTTACTGAAATTTGGCTTCAGCTGAAAGACCAAAGTTCTTTAAAAAGACGAGTTTGTCAGCAATCTGAAACTCAGTTACCCGGAGGCGAAGGTTTCGGACGAGGATGAATAAAAACCCTTAAAGAGTAGATAGAATAAAGAAAAGTTGAAAGAATAAAAAGTTGCTAATACTTATAGAAATGGTGGCTCCAAGGCCTTTCATTGATTCAAAGTGTACTTACAAAGATTGTTCTGCCTCGAATGGTTTACACATGATATTTCTTCAGTACATCAGCATTCCAGTGATTTTTCAACTCAGTTCCATCCAACTGCTGAAGTCGGTATGTCCCTGGCTGAAGCTCATCACAGATTTCATAGGGTCCCTCCCATGCAGCTGAGAGTTTCCCATGGATTCGGCCTTTCTGAACTGCAGCAGCATTCCGAAGGACAAGGTCTCCAACTTTGAGAGGCCTTGCATGGACCCTTCGGTTGTAAAATTTTCAGATTCTCTGCTTATAAGCAGCCATTCTGACTCGGGATGAGTCTCTCACTTCATCAAGAAATTCGCGGGATTCTTTCATTAGGTCCTCATTCTCAACCGAGAAGTGGTGCACTTGTAAACTCTCAGGGCCAATTTCCACTGGAAGAACGGCTTCGGCACCATACACTAGTTCAAAAGGTGAATAGCCCGTAGCCTCTTTTTCAGTAATCCGAAGGGACCAGAGGGTTCCTGGGAGCTCCTCCAGCCACTTGGACTTTTGATCTTCCACCCTCTTTTTGAGGGCGTTCAGGATCTGTTTATTTGCAGCTTCGGCTTGTCCGTTACTTTGCGGGTGGCATACCGCTGAATATGCCAGTTTGATCCAGAACTGATCGCTATACCGCTTCAGCGGCAAGTTATCGAACTGCCTCCCATGATCGAAGACAAATACTTTCGGGATGCCGAAACGAGTGATGATATTCTGCCAGATAAACTTTCTAACAGTTTGCTCTGTAATGTTCGAGGCTGCTTCGGCCTCGATCTATTTACTGAAATAGTCGACACCGACTATCAGCCATTTTTTCTGGTATGTAGCATCTGGAAATGGTCCCAGTATATCCAGTCCCCATTGGGCGAATGAGAGTGGATTGAGGATCGGCTGAAGGTCTCTAGCTGGATGATGGATGACTGGCGCGAATTTTTGACATTTTTCACATTTCCGGACCAGTTCCTTAGCATCTGAGATCATGGTGGGCCAGTAATACCCGGCCCTCAATGCCTTGTGGGCTAAGGCCCTTCCCCCGATGTGGTTCCCGCAGATGCCGAGGTGAATCTCCCGAAGGATATAATCTACATCTGTTGGTCCCACGCATTTCAGCAATGGGGCTGAGAAGGACTTTTTCAGAAGCTCCCCTCTGAAGACAATGAACCTTGAGTTGGTTCTCTTTAGCTTGGAGGCCAAAATTCTGTCTTCGGGAATTTCTCCCCGAAGCTTGAAAGCTAGGATGGGATCCATCCAGCTGGGCTCTAGGTCAGCGCAGCACACTTCAGGTGCTTCGTCGACACTTCTTTCTCGACGCACTTCCACATATACAGATCTGTTCAGCTCAGTGAGAGTTGAACTAGCAAGTTTGGAGAGTGCATCGGCTTGAGTATTCTGACCCCTTAGGATCAACTGAACCTCAAAAGTTCTCTGCTTTGCAATGACTGATTTGATCTTGGCAAGATAGGCTATCATAGAGGGCTCTTTGGCCTCGTAGCTGCCACTGATCTGATATGCAACTAGCTGAGAGTCTGTTTTCAGGCAGACATGCTCGGCTTCCAGAGGGATGCATAATTCTAAGCCAGCGATTGCTGCCTCATATTCAGCTTTGTTGTTCGAAGCCTTAAAAGAAAATTTTAGTGCATACTCAAAGGATTTGCCTTCGGGAGAGGTTATCACTACCCCTGCCCCCGAACCATTTACGGTGGAGGATCCGTCCGTAAACACGGTCCAGACTTTCTTTTCATTGTCTGGCGTTTCTTGGTACGAGCATTCAGCTAAGAAGTCCGCTAGAGCCTGAGCCTTGATGGCTGCCCTCGGCTGGTAGCTGATGCTGAATTTGGTAAGCTCGAAAGCCCACTTGGCCAGCCTACCAGATTTTTCAACTTTGCCGAGAACTTTTTCCAGCGGTTGATCAGTTAAGACCACAATCTGATGGCAATCAAAATAGGGCCTCAGCTTCCGAGCAGCTACCACTACTGCAAAGGCGACTTTCTCGAGTAGAGGGTAGCGAGTCTCGGCATCCGTCAGAGTGTGATTGACGAAGTAGATCGGTTGCTGAATTTTGTTTTCTTCCTTCAGCAGCACTGCACTGATGGTGGCTGGGATAACAGCCACGTACAGATACAAAGTTTCTCCCTCTGCTGGGCTAGCCAGCGTTGGGAGTTGAGCCATATGCTCCCAAGCTGCTTGAAGGCTTCTTTTTGCTCTTCTTCCCAAACGAGCTCTTTTGTTTTCGAGAGTTTCAGGGCTTTGAAAAAAGGTAACCCCTTATCCGAAGCTCTGGAAATGAGCCTCGAGAGGGCTGCCATTCTTCCGGTGAGCCTCTGAACATCCCGCTTTGTTTTCGGCTCAGGAAGGTTGAGCGCTGCTTTGACTTTGGAGGGATTGGCATCAATCCCCCTCTTGCTGACCATGAACCCAAGGAATTTCCCTGACTTCACGCCGAAGACACACTTCTTCGGATTCAGCTTCATTTGCTGCTTTCTTAAGGTGGCGAAGGTTTCAGCCAGGTCCTTAACATGGTCCTCGGATTTTTTGCTTTTGACGATCGAATCGTCAACATAGACTTCCATGTTTCGGCCCTTTTGATCGGCAAAAACTTAATCCGCCAGCCTTTGATAGGTTGCCCTTGCATTTTTCAATCCGAAGGGTATCATTTTATAATTGTACACCCCGGCGTTCGTGACGAATGTCGTCTTTGCTCGATCGTCAGGGTGCATGAAGATCTGATGATACCCCGAGAATGCGTCCATGAAACTAAGCAAGGCATGGCCACTTGTCGAGTCAACTAACTGATCGATCCTCGGCAAGGGATAGAAATCCTTCGGACAAGCCTTATTTAGGTCCGTGAAGTCAACGCACATTCTCCAGGTACCATTGGCCTTCTGAACCATCACCACATTTGCCAGACATTCTGGATATTGACAAGGCTCGATGAAGCCTGCCTCCAACAACTTTTTGACCTCGGCTACGATGTCTCGGTTCTTATTAGCGGAGTAATTCTGCTTCTTTTGCTTAATTGGCCGACACGTTGGGTCAACATTAAGCTTATGGGAGATGAGGTTTGGACTTATCCCGGGCATATCAGCTGCCGACAAAGCAAACACATCTCTGTTGTCCCGAAGGAGTTGAATAAGTTCACAACGGGTGTTCGGATCGAGGTTCATCCCGATTGTTACACATTTCTCAGCGTCTCCTTCGGCCAACTCGATCGTTTCAGTCTGCTGGTCCATGTCCATTGCAGATAGACTGGACTCTTCACAATCTGGTCTGCTGTCTATGTCAGCAGGCGTCCCAGACTTTTTCTTCTTCGGCTGGCTCTCTGAGTCTTTCGGCTCAGATGAAGAGCCAGCCCTTTCTTTTTCTGGCCCTTTTTCTCTGGGCACAGAACCTTAGGCCGAAGCACTTAAACCTTTCGGCTTTTTTGTGCTTGGCTCTATTTCTTTTTCTTTCTCCTCCTCATCCTCATCGTCGTCATCTGGGCGACTAGTGGATGGCTTGAGGTAGTTGCACCTTCGGGCGTTCTTTTGGCTGCCCCTGGATCCTTTCGGGGAAGCCGGCGTCTAAGACGTAAATCATCAGCTGATGATAGGTTGAGACAACCCCTTGGATCTCGTGAATTATGGGTCTCCCCAAAAGCACGTTGTACACTGAATGAGCGTCAATGACTAAAAATTCAGTCATGACATTCCTGGCTGCCTCATCGCAGCCAATGGTGACAGGAAGCGTCACCTTCCCATCTGGATAAGTTGAAGCATCGTTGAACCCGGATACCGGGTAGGGTACCGGCGTAAGGTGCTTGGGCTTAAACTTGATTTGATTGTAGGCCTTTCGGAACAGAATGTTTGCTCCGCTGCCGCCATCAACAAGAACCT